GAAGGACTCTCAAGGCTCAGGCTGCTCCTAAAGACTCTCATAAAAGGCAGCAACTGTGTGTGGGCAAATTTTGATGTGAATATTAGTCCAAAAAACTGACTGTTTCATTCAGGGTTTACCATGAGGGTTATCATGAGTAAATCTTAGCATGAGTTTCACTATTCCTTCCATAACAAATGCCTTGTTTCCCCACTTGTTTCTTCACTACTGTCTGCATAGTTCCTGAAATAAAATTTCCTTATTTTCCCAGATTTTTTTCCTATGTCTCTAAGCCTTCATTTACATGTAGGTATAGCTTCTTCTATTGAAATTCTTTATAATGGATCGCAATTCAAGAATACACACAAGGACAGAAATCTAGTGGGTTACCAAACTTCAGATGATCTACAGTAACTAATTACATGCTGTTAACCTACTGCAAGCTTAGTAAGAAGCCTGTTAGCTTATGTTTCTTATATCTGTGCGTAAACTGAAGTCTACTTTCACACTTTCATGAACAAGAGATCCCACACTGTCAGTTACTGTCAGGTGTTAAGTAGAGGAGCACTGAATCTTTAGGGAAAAACTACTTTCTGTGCCTGGGCTCCTTTTTTCTCAAGTTACTTTAGAACAACTCAAAATAAACCAATGCAATATATATTCAACTGGAAATCATGAAAGACACTTCCTCCTGACCTTAGTGTCTTCCTGGGTATGAAGTACTGTTGGTAGAATCATCCTCCTTAACTGAGATATTTTTATACTTACAATTTATCTAACTTCATTTATCAAGGCATGCTGCTTTCATGCAAAATACTCTCATGTGTATTGTACGACATCAGAATAAGCTGTATGTCAAATCTTTGAGTATGCCATGTACAAGCTACTTTGAACATTCAACTGTGTTATAACTGTGAATAATTAAAGAAATAAAAAGGTAGTTTGACTGGGGAGGGGAGAGAAGGGATGAGAAGGGAGAGAAAGGCAAAACTGACAAGAAATGAGAGAGGTTGACTATAAAATCATGCTTTATTTTAAAAAATAGGAGGACTGAGTCTCTCCCAATATAGCACTGAAAAAAGTCCAGAAGCTTCACATGGCCACCTTTCTTTTTTCCTTAAATGTATCCTAAAATTCTTTCTTGCACTGTCTAAAATATATCAGAGTACCTTCCCAGATCAGTACCTTTCTGGTCTCCTGTAACTTCCTATAAATGAGCCTTGATCACATTACTTTCATCCAGTATAAGCCAAAACAGTCTTTAGATGCTGGATTTTCCATTTTCAAAGGAACTTAAAGGATTTAGACCCCTCCAGCCCATAGACTTTTACCGGGAAATAACAACATTGTGTTTTGTCAGGGGAAGTTTGAGAATCTAAGCCTGAATTCCTCAGTTCCCACATCATAGCTGTGCTTAAAAATAAGACTTTTTTTTTGTTGTTGTTGTTACATAAAAATGAGTCATCAGTACATTTAATTCCTAAGAAATGGACATGCATCATGAAACGAACTTTTCATTTGTTCTCAAAACAAGCCCACAGGTACAGCCAAGATTCATTTGTCTTTAGAATTTGATATTGGTATATATTACTCTGCCTGCACAAATATATTTAGTCACTTCTCATTTATTTTTCTCATTGGTCATTGCTATGGCTTTAACTAACTTGTTAAATGTCATTGAAATCAAATTATCAGCTGAATGAATGCCTTGATCTAGTATACTGGCATAACAGAAAGCTACATAAGGCTAACTGTTTGGTCAGCTAGCCAAATGGTATCATTTGTTATTTCTTCTACTTTGATTTGAATGCAATGAATTGAATTTTATAAGCAGGAAATTAGCTATAAAGACTACTTACAGGTTACTTGTAGAAGAACTTAATATAAGGAGGTCATTTGGGTTGCAACTTAATACTTTATAAAATTGTTTGTGTTCCATAGCATGCAATTATTTGAATAGCTAGAACATGCAGTTCTAAAGTTGGAAATGTATACCAGTACTACTCCAAGATCACATCTTCAGTCCTTGTCTGAGCACTGGTGATATAAAGCACTCAGAAAGGAAACCAAAAAAGCTGGGAATTACCCTAAATTAAGGGGGCTACTTTTGAAACAGTTAAAACAATCAACATTAACTTACTTTTGCTCTCAATCAGTGATAAATTTAGCCATTACCAGCTGCTGGGAGAGTCCCTAATTGCTAATTGCTACTGACCACAATTTAGAACAGCGCATGAGCTGTTCTAACCTGCACCTGCCTTACTCTCTTTGGCTTCTGCTCAGCTTTCTCTGCTGATTAGCTTAAGCAGATGCTCACCTGTCTCACAGGACTTCATAGATCCTATTCTCAAAAGCTGTATTATTCCCACCTGTAAAAGGTGTCTAACCTGGAGTTGTTGATGTCAAGATACTGAAGATGTCAAGATGTATGAAACATTAGTGATGTCTTTACTAAGATGGTTATTGTGGTGTGCCTTTATTGTGGTGTGCCTAGCCGAAACAGCCTTGCCACTTGTTTTTCAGCTACATGCTACTGTCCTGTGGCAGGGGTGGCTGAAAGTGCTTCCTCTGAACGCTTCTTAGTGGGTCAGTTCATAGCCAGGTGGACTCCTGAATGCCTGAACACCCTTCAGTAGGTTAGTGCTAAGCAGGTCTGTAGCCTACTCACTTTTTCTATGGTCATTCAGGATTTGTTTTAGTCTAAGGGACTGATGATGAGATCTGAAATACTGCATGGACAAACCCATGGAATGGTCATCTGTCTGTTGCAGTAGAATCCTGCAAAATGAGCACAGCAGTATTAAGTCAGCCTTACGGAAAACAACACCAAGCAAGCAGGACAGGAAGATCCTCCCTGCCAGCAGACTAAAACTCATTACGGGATTTAAAATGAGACAAACTCAGTCAAACTGAGATTTACCTCCAATGAATATTCAAAGTGAGAAGCAATATGTTGTGTTGCACTGCCTTGACTGATGAAACAATAAGGTATTCAGTGAGGAAAGTCAAGCAAACAAGAAAGTACCCGAGAAAGCCACGGATCAGAGGTTTGATTGTTGTCAGAGAATCTGTCTTTCAGGATGCTTATCTGTGGTAGAAATTGGTTTGAGCATTTCAAATTGCAAGTGCCCAATCTGCATAAAGTGGAAGTAATATGCTGACAAAGTCCTGTACAGGTAACAATCAGCATCATTCTGGATGAGCTGTAATATTGCTAAGGTGCTTTAAGGAGAACCTGCCAGAGAAGCATTACAGTAATTAACCCTGATTGTCAGAATGCTGGGCAGGCCTGGGTCTCAGGAGCTGAAGAATTCAAATAAATAAATAAAAGATTACTTGATGTACAGCACTGTTCAGGGACTGTGAGTCTGAAACCAGCATCCTGAGTCCATAAAGATAATAGCTTGCTCACAATTGATGTGAATGGATGACAAGAGCCTTTAAAGGTGACCTGTAAAAGCAGGATAAAAAAAAAAAAAAAAAAAAAAGAGGGTTTATACCATTTTCACTTCTTTATAATGACTAAAGAAATCTTGAAAGCTTCACATTCAACCCTTTTTACATTTCACATCTTATCTGATCTGCTTTCCTGGATAATTCTAGAGCAGACTAGAGGGAAAGTATAATTATGACCTCTCATTATATTAAGAAAATTATACTCAGTTTGGAAACAAAATGTTTATTATTATTATTATTTAGTCATATTAGAACTGCTGAGCTCTTTGAGTTTTATTATTATTATTTTCAGCTAGTGCATTTCAAACTTCTTTCTTAGAGTTTTTTCTTCCATCTATTTCAAGATTCAGTACTTCAAGTTCTACAACCAAATGCGGTAAAAAATGCTCAGTCCATTTCTTTGGGTCCTTCACAGACATCTCCCAGAAGAGAAAACTGAACCTGATATTACCAGTACGTTTAGGCAAAAAGAAAGTATAAAAGAATTGTGAAGCTGCAACTTTGTAGTCACAAAGCAAAACAAGGAATGATGGCATATGATATAATGCCAATCTACCATTTTTGAATCTGTAAATGCTGCAGCACTAAAAGATGTGTGTTTAAGCTCTTAAGTGAGATCTCAGATAAATAGCATCAATGTCTGACATATTAGCATGTAAAAAGTTGCTGTGGCAGTGTTTTTAGTGTTAGTAATTCAATAGATTTCAAAACAAAAACAAAAAAAACTTGGAGATAAAAACATGCAGAAAAAATGTGTATTGTAAAAAAAATATGTTTAGAAACTCTAGGGTTGGGGTTTATTTTTGGCAAATTACATTATTGCCTGCTGTCTCACAAATCAAGATTGGTTTGTAGGAGCTCTTTTGTAACTTATGTTATTGCTCAGCAGCAGCACTTACTGCCTAGAAGTAGAAGGAATAATCAAGGTTGACCCAAACACTATAAGAGGAAATTCCACATGGGGTAAAAATTCGAATGATTTATGATAGCCAAAGAATACCATAAATCTCTCCTGAAATAGGAATAGATAGAGAAACAGTCACAGATGGCCAAAGGATCAATCAGAAAATAACCCACAGGAAGCTTAGTGCCAAAAGTAATTGACATAGTCGTCAAATCAATTTCTGATGGTACAGACACTTTTGCATTCAGTCTGCTTCCCCATGCTGTAGATCATTTGGCATGTCATTCAACTCAGCATTGCCCTATATACACTTGCGGCAGACATGAGAGGTTTAGGTACTTTCTGAAGTTTACTTTCCACACGCTCACTAAGATGTCAGGTGAGGAACAAGTTATACTTTCTGGTAAATGACTAGTCATATGATATTAACTTTGTGGACTTAGTAATTTCCCCAAGTATTTTCCATATTGTGTACAAGGGTATAGAGCTCTGGGACTGTAGTGGATGACAAGGTTTTGGTAGCGAGGGGCCATAGGGGTGGCTTCTGCGAGAAGAATCCAGAAGCTGCCCCTTTTTGATAAGGACCCCGCCACTGGCCAGAGCTGAGCTAATAAGTAACATTGTTTGCACCTCTGTGAGAGCAGATTTAAAAAAAGGGGGAGGGAAACTGTTAGGGAACAGCAGCTGGGATAAAATAGTGAGAATCAGCCCTGCAGACCCCCAGGTCAGTGTAGAAGTAGAGGGAGGAGGTGCTGCTCCAGGCACACATTAGCAGTTCCCCTGTGGAGAGGCCCCTGGTGGAGCAGGCTGTCCCCCTGCAGCCCACGGGTCCCACATGGAGCAGATCTCCACGCTGCAGCCCCCCTATGGGTGGAGGAGCCCCCAGTGGAGCAGGTGGATGTGGCCTGGAGGAGGCTGCAGCACATGGAGAGCCCCCGCAGGAGCAAGCCCTGGGCTGGAGCTGCAGCCCGTGGAGAGGAGCCCACGCAGGAGCAGGGGGTCTGGGGAAGCTGCTGCCTGTAGATAGCTGTCTGTTCCTGTGGTATAGACCTGTATTAGAGCAGTTCTTGAAGAGCTGCTGCTTGTGGGAAGTCCACACAGGAACAGTTCAGGAAGGACGGCATCCCGTGGGAGGGACCCCACACTGGAGTAGGTGAAGTGAGTGATTTTGAAGGAGCACTGTAGATGAAGGGACTGGCTGCAGCCCCCATTCCCCTGCGCCTCTTGGGAGGAGGAGGTGAAAGAGGGTGGATGGAGGGGGGGAAGATTTTTTGGTTTCTTTCCTTTGTTTCTCACTTCTCTAGCTTGTTTGTAACAGGCAAGAAATTTTACTAATATCCCTACTCTGAGTCTGTTTTGCCCATCACAGTAATTGTTGAGTGATCTCCCTGTCTCAACCCTTGAGTCCTCTTCATAGTATTTTCTCCCCCCTTTCCCTTTGAGAAGGCAGTGAGAGAGTGGCTGTGGTGGAGCTAATCTGCCCGCCTGAGTAAAACCACCACAGGCACACTGTGCCTCTGCACAAGATGTTCCTTTACAATGATTGCAGGAGAAGAAGGCACAAACCTGTTTGCCAATGTGCTATTTAGGCTAAGCCTTTAGGTCCTTAGTCAGAGCCAGAGTAGTGAATTCGTCCACAGTTCAAAGATTACCAAACAGAGTAATAACAGAGAGCATTTTTGAGACTAAATAAATAAATAAATATTGTATCAGCATAACTAAAGAACTTTTCAAGCCATTAGAGTTCTAAAGATAAAAGGGAGTGTATTGCCATATCTTGCAGGCTAAGGAAGAGTAAAAGGAATTCTATCTGGAGATACGACCTCTGAGGAATTGAACCAGAAACTGATTTTAGTGCTTTTTTTTTTTTTTTTTTTTTTTTTTTTTTTTCAGGCAGTAGATTGCTGGCTGTGTGTTTATTTCAATAGGCCTGGGGACAAATCTATAAGGTTTCTGGTGCACTTGTACAACATAAGAAACATGCTGAGTATCCTAACATGTTGTACTTCATTCAGAAAGGTCTCGATAATCTAGGAATATGATGTGTTTTGCACCCAGTGGAAGTTTCCATCATTTTCAGGTGAGACTGGAGTTTATGGATCAATGTCATTCTTTAGTGTAATGAATGCCTTCTGCTTGTTCTGGGAATAAAGGGTGTAGAAAGACAGTCAGGTGCCTCTTCTAGAGGCATGCCAAGATGGGGAGAGACGTCCATTAAAGACGCCACAAGGCAATATTACTGACAACTAAATACAATACAGGGCAGGTTGTCCTAATCAACATGGCATCATTCATTTTTCCAGCCAAACAAGTGTGTGTTCCTGAATGCTCAGATGAAGGGAAAATGTCTTGTGCTGTAACACTGAGTGTTGTAATCCCCTGAACTAGATGTGATGAGTGTGTGTTTACAAATATATATGAAGATGATACATCCTTTGCATTCAGATCCTTGTAGCTTCCTTCATGGCCATGGGCAACATTGTTTTTTACTTTCATAAGGAAAGTAAAACCCACTTCTAATATGAGAACCAAAAATAGATCACGGTTGTTAGTCAACAGCTGGGTATATCAGTTTGTAATCAGTTAGCACAAATAAACAATTTCAGATCTTGCAATCAAAAGAGGAATAATGAAACTTTTCAAAAAAAATAATAATGATAAAAACTGAAATTACATTTCAAAGTGGATCTTCAAAAGAATTATTTCTCCTGATCAGACCACAGAACACTGAAAAACTATCAGGAAATATGGTCAAGATCCAGGCTATCTTCTCCAAGTGGGTAAATGTACTAAATAAGCCTCAAGATGTCAGGGGTTAAAATAACACATATTGATGCATATAAAGACATCAGATGGAAAGGGTTTTCCTACAGAGTGAACAGTGATTGATTCATAGAAAAAATAAACTTCCACAGAAAGCAGGGGATCATTTGTGAATGCGTAACGGAAGAAAGCAAGAAATATCTGAAAGGTATTTTTTTAAAATTCAGATCTATTATATGAAAAAACAATTCCACAATAGATATGATATATGCAGATCAAGCAGTAATACAGTAAATAACATATAATTCCATTCTGTATTGTGTTTTTATGATTTTTCTTGCATTTTAAGTGTGGGGTGTTCAGTGCTGAACACTGATTTCGGACGTATGAGATGAAATATAGTAGTTACTTGATATCCAGAAATGCTGAGTCCATACCCTCAATGCTTCAGGCACTTCTCATATTTATTTTTTGAAAAATGAACACTTTCTTCTCATACCTTGCTCACTGCCTGCAAAGGCCTCCCTTTATATCCATGTGTAGCTGAGGAGGCACTTCATTTCACACGCTACTGGAGCAACAGCTCAAAACAGTTTGTTCAAAGCTACCACAGTCTATTATTTTCTCAGTGTAGTTGCCCCAATGAAGTAAATATAAAACTATTTTTTTTTCATGAAGAATTAGACTGTATATTTTCTTCACTATGTTTAATGAATGAATACCCTCATCTTAAAAAAGTAAAAGAACATATATTTTAACTTTTTGCTGTTGATTTAAGAATACAACAAAATTCCGGTAAAACTGCAGAATTCTTTTTGTAGTTATCAAACAACAATAATGCAATTATATTTCACTTCTCTGAGAAGTATTTTCTCATATGTATCTCATTTTCTTTTCCTCACTAACAGTCCCTTATCACAAAAATCAAAAGCCAGGTGACTGAAGAACTCTTGGAAGAAAAGCTGTCAAAATTCAGTGGCCTTCCAGTGACTGCAGTGGATTCAACCATCCACTGCAATTCTTGTTCCTTTCAGAGAGGCCTTTGCTCCCTTCTCAGTGATAAGCAACTTAAGCTTATTGGATTACTGAGTTGTTCTGTTTGTCTCCTGATATTTCAGGAAACATACAACTGGACTTAATTTTTCAGTGGAAGGATGGGTGCTAAAATTAAGGTAGATGTTTCCCTCAGAAATCATTTTAAAACCTGTTGGTTTTCAGTCTTTTTTCACTCTGTTAGGACAGGACCAAGCAAAGTTCATTCATTCAGTGGTCAAGTGGCTATATTTTTCACCAGATGAATACAGGAATAGATGTGACTTTTGCATTCCTACAGAAGATCACTTTGATCATATTCATTCTTTGAGCTGCATATATATATGTTTAGAATTAAGGAAAAATATAAACCTCGCACAAATATGGGCTAATAAAGAAAGAAAGAAAGAAACAAAAATCATTTCCTATTTCTGCCAGTAATTTTTTTATACCTCCAAATTCTGTCCTTGCCATACTGTAAGTAGATTGAGGTTAGTAAGGCATCTTGAAGTTCAAAGCAGAGGCCCGTACATTTGAAACCTTGGTGGAACAGAAAACCACAAATAAATACATAAATAAATAAATAAATAAATAAACAAAACTTTAAACTGTGATGGGGATATGGGGATTGACAAACTCTTGGAAATAAATATTACTTCTAAAACTGTCTGGAAACATATCAGTTGACCTCAGTGCATGCTTGCTCTGGCCTGAAGAATATCCAGGTAAGTTTTTATGCTATCACATTTTAAATAAAAACTCAAATGTCAACCAATCTGCTATTTCAAAGCATGATAAGGAACCCAGGTGTCCCTTTAGCATTACACTGCAGTTTCTGAAGTATCACAGAGGTGGCCCAATGAGTGGGATTTGAAAATACAAGATCATTTAAAAAGTCTTAAAAAAATAATTTAATTAGTTTTCATTTCTCCTACTTGCACCTGATAAACGAACATATTAAACTGTGAAGACTCAGGAGCCTCCAGAAGTCTTTGATGTATATTAGAATAATCTAATAATTAACCTCAGGATTCACCAGCATGACACATTCAGGAGAAGTGAAGCAGTGCTCATGACAAAGGAAATTCCAAGTCTGCTAGCCCCAAGGTACCAAGCTGGCTTCATTCTCCTCTGCTTTGCAATGGAGAAGTCTGAGCTCCTGTTGATCTACTTTTTGTTACATTAGCGCTGATTTTCTTTAAACAGCTGGGCACATTGCACTTAGAAAGGCAATACTGAGAAATAACCTTTCACTTGCATAATATGTATGCAAGAAGAAGGTATATTTTCTCCCTGGGCTATTTTTGTCTGTACCTGATATTAGAGAGCTTTGTTCAGTCCAGAGTAGTTATTAAACACTTTCTATTGATGTAGCTACTTGATCTAAGTGTGAGCTCTCTCTGGAAAAAGAGAAAGCCTGTGCTCACAACTTAGCCTGCTTCTCTGGCTAATACAGTGTGGATGCTACTCTTACCTCTGTTCTAGAGAAGGACAGTACTTAATTCAGTTCCTACAAGTGTCATTGAATAAGTGTCTGTTTTGTGCTAATAAATTGCTCCCCTTGCCTTTAACTGAAAACATAACTGTTCGTAATAATACAACTTCATATTTGAACTGGGGCCAGAAGTGTCCACTGATTTTAGGCACTCAGACTAAGTAAGGACTTTCATCCTGATTTTGTAATGCACTGAAAAGCTCCAACGCCAATTGGACTGAATGGTAACTAAGGGCATCAGCAGCTCCCTGAAAATGAGCACTCAAAACCTGGAATTGATTAAGTGAACATTTAAAAATATGGACAGCAGTTTCTGTTTTCTGTGTCTCTCTGAGTGCCTTTCTAAAATGCTTGAGCACTGAGGTAGTCTCAGACTCATTGAAAAGAGCCAAAACAAAGATTGACCAGCCAGAGTCATTGCATCAGTTTCATTCATAATATGACTCAGGGGAGAGAGGGGTTGACAAAAACATCTACAGATTTGTGCAGCAGCAAAACTAAGCACAAAGTTACACAGGGCACTGGTTTAATCTACTGCTTAAAGTGTACTTCACTGTAAGCATACCCTCTGTTACTGTTTCTTCTAACAGAATAACTCAGTATTTCCTGGGCCTCCTCAGAGAAAAACAGAAGACAGGCTATAGCTTATCACTTCTAGCATGCCTCCAATTTTATTGGTTTTACCTAAATCTTTAGAGTAATGTTTAGGAGCAGGGAGGGCCAGGAAGGTTTGCTCTTGCTGAACAAAGGAATGACTAACCAAGGATGGAAAACATTTTGAGGTATCCTGATATTGCCCCTTACCCTTGAAATAAAAGTATTAATTTCTCAGTGTTAGCAGGGGTTGTGTTCAACCTATAGTTATATTGTTATAAAAGGAAAGGAGCAATATATGTAACAATACGTCTTGCTCTAGTCCTTTCTTCTCAGTCAAGGATACACCCACAGTGATCAACACTAATTTGCAAAAAGTTACTGACCTTCGTTGTGCCTTGAACTGGGGGCAGAAGCCTCACAAAAGCTCTAGAAAGTGCTTCTTAAGAAAGAAGAAAGCTGCTTTCTCTTGGATAGAATACATTAAATGTATCTTCATTGTACACCCTTTGCCTCTCAGTTCACTTCCAGGTTCAGATGTTCAAGATCACTCCCATATTAGATTCATGCATAGCTTTTTCCAGCACTTGAGGTTCTCAAAGAATTTGTGTCTTTTAAAAGCAATGCAGTGTATCCAGGCTAAAGGTAATGTGTCCCTTCTGTTGAGATGAAGTAGCAGAACACTGAACTTGCAGATTTGTTCAAAATAACACTTGTGTTTGGGCAACCAGAGATCCAATTGCCTGGGTGAAATTTCCTTGTGTTTGTAGGGACATACAGAATGAATCATACCGAAACTGAAGCTGTAATTTATTTATTCCCATCTAAGGAGCTCTTTTTTCCTTTTAGCACTTGAAAGTATTGAAAAGTCCCTGTTGAACTGCAGTTAACTATTTTTGCAGTCAAATTGGGAGAGTACTTACAGCGTGGATATCTGGTTTTGACCATATTCTGGTCAATAATTGTCATCAGAGATGTCGCCAATGAAGCAGAGAGAGTACCAGTAGTACTTCAGAAGAGGTGCAGCATCTGGAAGAACACACAAGATTTCAAAGCAACAGGAGCATCTTCAGTCTGAAAGCAGCAAAACAAAGATTCATAAAGGACAAGTGGAACTTGGATTTAAGATGTGCCAGGTAGAAACAGGTCAGAAAAATAATCAAAAAGTTATAATGTGCTACAAACCCATATAGCTCAACAATATGAGTCTGCTGAAAAAGAACAAGGCTCATTCTGGGATGTATTTAAGATCAGTGTTGGATGTAAATTAGAGGAAAGAAATTATTCTGCTCTACTTGCCCCTGGAGAAACTTTAGTGGAAGTACTGTATCCAATTAGTGACACAGCACTTAAAGACAGATGTATTTCAAATGGAGATAATCCAGAAGAAATCATTGGGAATGATCAGTTTTAAGCAAATCTGTCCAAGGAGGAATGGCTGAATGGTTTATTTAATTTAGTAAAAAGGAAAGGAAGAAAGGAGTGAGAAGAGAGTGACTTCCTAGTCTGTAAAAGTTTGTTATAAAGAGGAGGTGGTCATTTATCCCCTGAGTCCAAGAGAGGAAGACCCAGAAGAAATCATCTTGCTTTGCAATAAATAAGATATAAATTATATATAAAGGAGAAAGAAATAGTTGCAATATTTACAAAATTTAGGTGTGAGGGATGGCTTGAGTATAACTTATCCTTGTTCTTTTAAGGGTATGAAGATGACCTCTTGAGGTCCCTTCTGGGACTAGTGAGGTCTCATATGGGTGAATTCCATCCTCCTGCTTTTCTGTACAAAGAGGCAGAATGAGGGTTCAAGGGCATCTCTATCTATAGTGCTGGAAGAATACATAAAGATGGTCTTTTAACCTTAAAACTAATTATATTTTGCTATGTGTGCTCCAAACATGCTGTTCCATATCATGGTATCATAGAGGTTGACAACAATTTTAGACAAGGGAAAGAAAGTGTGGCAAGGTCAGAATGCTGGAAGAGACTTATAATCCATATCTCCCAGCCTGAATTCCTCCTGAATGTCTACTGTCCATCTGAAATGCTTTTTAGAAACACATCCTGATTATATGATGTTTCATCTACTGTTCTCATTGGAAAAAAAAATAAAATGTTAGTGTCAATTCTCTGTGAGAAGATCAGGGAAGACTGCTCGCATTAAAATGGACTAACTTTCATACTAACTTTCAGATGTGACTGTATTTTTTCATTTGTTTGTTTTGTTTTGTTTTCAAAAAGGCCTAATGGATTTATAGGGTTTGAAAATTTTGCCTCGAGACTAAGTCATGTTGTCATGCAAAAATATCTCTAATCAGAATGAAACAGCCAGCTAAAATTTGCAGGATGACTTTTTGCAGCAGAAATCTCCCCCAAGAATCTCTCTGCTTTTCAGGGGCTACAGGGCAGAGTGAATATGTAAAGACAAACTTGAAAATGTTTCCCCTCTAGTTATTCAGCAGACAAACAGGGAATCTCTGAATCAGCACATTAAAACCCTTTTCCAATCAACACATACTAATGATTACGAAGGCTTGGAAAGTGTTATGTAGGATTATTCTGGAAATTGCTGTCTAAGGCTGCCTTAATCTGGATACGGCTGGTTTTGAATAGGGATGTGTAAGTCACTATCAATTTTCATCAAGTTGGCCCAAGCCTGTTTATCCTTTTGCTGTATGTGATGACACGCATTGCAGTCTAGGTGAAAATGTCCCGTCCGCCTCCTAGAAAAGCTTAATAATTTATTTGTAGCCCATCTCATTCTAGACTAGTGCACACTGTTTATTCGCTGTGCTGCACAGCCAGCTCTTAAAGCAGCAGTACTGTGTGTTACAAACAATTTTTGTCTGACATCCTCTAGTTTTTCATTATATTGATATGTATCAAGTGTGTGCTGTTACATTTTCAAGCTGAAACAGAATGAAGAATTGATGCTGGGGGTGTTTGGGAGAAATGTCATGACCTTGGTTACAATGGGCACACTTCAACAGCCAAACTGCAAAAGCAACTTCACCCCAATACCACTAAGGCAGAAACACAGGGGAAACAAGTTGTCCACCATTTAGACTTTCATATATGGTGTTAGGACTGCAGAAGTAATGACAGCTTGTTAGCTTCCTTCTCTTTTGTTGTGCTGTGCCCTTTTTGCTGTGTGATTATGCATTCAGAAAAGGAATACCATCTTTACCTTTTTTCTCCTTAGAAAGAAGTTTGTGGATTTGTTTTAGCAGACCGCTCTTGTTGCTGTATCCCGGTGAGAAGCAGCTGGTGTTGCACCTGAAATTGCAGTGGGCTGGAGGAGGGGAAGTCACGTAGCCTCACCCTTCTGTGCTTTCTGGCTTTGCATTTGTTTGCGTGCTCTTCTAAGCATCCA